ATCCAAGAAGACCTAAATAGTCTATGTAATTGGAGTGAAAAGTGGCAGTTAACGTTCAATCCAGCTAAATCTGGGATAACATACTTCGGACGTTGGAAACCTAGCATGTGTCTATACATGTACGGTGACCTTGTCTCAAACACAAACACAGTCACAGATCTCGGGATAACATACTCAGATCTTACCTTTACTGAACATGCAAATAAGGTGGTATCTGATTGTAAACGTCTAACCGGCTTTGTGCTACGCAACTTTTACACTCCAGAAGCCAGATTAGCCATATATAAGATATGCATTCGCCCCAAACTTGAATACTGTGCCCACTTATACAGTAGCTTTAAATCAGCAGACAGAAAAAAGTTGAAAGTGTCCAAAGATTCCTTACGAAACGCATATTAGGCTATGGTCAGCAAATAGAATACCTTGACAGATGTATTCGACTGGACTTAGAGCCCTTATGGTTAAGGAGAGTGAAGTGCAATTTATTTCTCTTATTCAAAGTTATAAGAAAGCACTGTAACAGTAACTCGTCCATAACCTGGGCTAATCCTAAATCGTATGGACTACGCAACCATAACTACCTTCTCAAGGTTAACACCCATAAACTCACCACTAGAGCTAACTTCTTCACCATTAAATATTGCAAACTTTGGAACCAACTACCCTCTGAGATAAGATCCTGTGAAAGGCCTGACAGTTTCAAAAGGAGCCTAGAAAAACATATTAACATGTCCACCCTAGCCCGCCTCAAAGATCTCAACTGCTGGTAGAGTGGAGAGACAATGGCATTTCAATATTTAACTACAGAAAGTACACTAGTTCCCAGACTAACATAATAATACTTAGTAATTATGTAGGTTCAATACTTGAAATTCGATTGTCATTAAAATACTTAAAATGATTAAAATGCTTACGCGGCAAATGTTCTCTTGGTTTACCACTCTTATTTCCCTTATAACACTCAGTTATTGAGCCTAATGTATTCTTTGATAATACGAATTATGACACTGATTATGCTCTTATTATACATAGATTGATTTACTTTACGACTACCTGTAGTACTAACTACCCTTCTGTAGTATTGTTAAACAAATGCTGAAATTTTGTTGGTTCTGTTAATATCTTTTTATAATATGTTTAGACACGTTACTTTGCAATGTCAGATGTCTACTATATACAAGACTGTCATGATAATTTAGTACACTAAGTCCTGCCAACCGACCTTACCTTCAGTTCATACTACCTACATTGATCCCTAACTATATTGTTCTGCTGAATCTTGCTCCACTATTCACAAAACCTATTCTTTTTATTCTTTAAGGTATTTCCTTCTTGTAAAGTAATCTGTTCATTAGGACGCATGCACATATATATAATGTTCATAAAGATGTACGCGGAGACCTATTGGAAGCACTCATTAAGAAAGCTAGGGAGATGAGATATGAGGTACGAACATGTCTGGTACCAAGCAATATATTTGCGGTAGCCATAATAATCATAGTCTCAGAGCCTAACATCAAAAAAGGAGGGAGGGTGGCGTTAGCTGATCAGTAGATATGGTGGTGGTCACTAAGGTGAATCGCCCCATTCTGCAGGAACAGCAATATACAATTTGAAGGCTCGAGATATTTCCGATTTTTATGAGGGCTAAGATCTTTATCTTGAAAAAGATAGTAATGAACGCCTAAACAGGTCACGCTTCTACCTTTAAATATATACCATTCACTCAGCCTATTGTTGAGATGCGACCATGTGGGCTCTGCACAGATTTATGGGGCATCTTATAAACTAACTTGCCGTCCATTGTCGGATCTTTAAATATCACTTCACAATGTCTTATCTCATTTATTTTCTAATAACGTCTTTACTTGATCCTCATTATATTCCACTAAACCTAACATTTTATAGCTTTTTATGAATTTGATTCGACTTATCCTATTCCTATTCTCTGTAGGGTACGGTTGTGCACCAAATGCACAAAAAGGCATGAAATAAAAAAAACCGACATGAGGAAAAATGTATTAAAACCAAAAGTGGACATCATGATAGTGGAAACTGTACAGGAAGCATTATACATTGCAAATGAACGTTGTCAGCCTAGGGAGTTTCCTTTATTAATGCATTAATTCGTGATACTTGCACTTACCCATTTCATTACAATTTAATGATTCACCTCAGCACTTTTACTTTTCTAAAACAGCTTTCAATCCCTTGTAAACGATGTACTTACCTCAATATTGGTTGGTTATCGTATGCCGACAACCACGGGGTGAAAACGAAACGAAGTCGATTTTCCCGCTCAACCTTGAGGACAGTTGTACAATTCAATAACTATACAGCCTAGTTCAGACAATGTGTATTTATATATATATATCAAATATTTAACTGTCGAAACATTATTAACTTGTAGACAATCTACGATTTGATATTATATCATACTTGATTGTGCCTGTAAAAATGGCATGCATTTTCATGTAAATTTAAATGTTTATACGAGAATATACATTATTATTATTATTAACATTGTCTCTGTCACTTAGAACACGGGCCAAATATGGTATCGTTGAGTTCCTATACTTGGTTATATGAGCATATATTATTTTGTACTGATTTCGGGTTCTACCTGATGAGATGCAAGGAGAGAGTTGGGAATAGAGGGGGTGTTGTGGGTCGAGGAGTATGGTTTTAGACCATTTTTCGCATGTATTCAGATGCTTATCTACTAATGTAGTTACGAGCTGACTGAGTTTTACACCACTAGTCCTACTAACTACCTTCAACATCCTTCTTAGGATGGTATAGTCTTTTTTCAGTAACCCAGGAAAGACTAACGGGGAACAGTAAAGTAGAATAGGTAAGATAAGAAAGTTGACAAATTGTGAAAGCAGAGGTTAGGTGATTCCAGATAATCTGAGTTTCCTTTATGTGTAGGTTAGACGAAACACTTTCTTAGGAATCGTTTGGATGTGAGATGACCAGGTAAGGTCGGAAGATAGAACTAGTCCGAGGTATTTCGCATCAGACTTAGTTTCAATGCTACAGGCTTCATGAGTACTTCCTAGTGTTTGTAGATCTCGTTTAAGCATAAAGAAGAAGTCAATAATCTGGGATTTTGAGGGATTCAGCATGAGGCCATTTAGTTTAGACCACTGAATTCCCTGTTCACCAACCTAAAGGTATCTTCAAAAGCCATCTTGGTTTCCTGAAAGCTTTCAAGGCTTCTGGAATCAAGATTGGCATTTCGCCTTAACTTTTAAGAAGATTGGTCATTGCGAACTCGTTATAAAAACGTTTTCGAAATATGCTAAGTCTTGCTCACTCAAGACGTCTAAATGTAACGTTGAGGTATTTGAGCGGCGTATAGACTAAAGGATATCTGAAAATCTCAAAAGACTGAGAAGCATGATGTCTGCAGTTTTCAGAACATAATCGGGATGAACTGGAATACTGTGGTAGGCACCTCTCAGATAGATCTTAGTGAAAATAAGCTGTCCCTTCAAGGAGCCAATCAGATTGTGTGTTCGAGAATGGACAACTATCTGGGACTGTTTGAGCACTGAGATTTCGGTAATCAGCACAAAGCTTACTCTCCATGATATTACTCTCGAGCACCACACAGAAGTGAAAACTGTGAGCTGTCAAATGGTCTGAGTATCCCCATTACCATCAGATTCCCTAAATCAGACTTCATCGTTTCTCTGAAGACAGCCACTATGGTTTAACTAATACAGGTGAGTCAGTAGTTGTGATTTTATGTGAGAAATCAGTCGTTACACGATATGTACCAAGACTGGGTTTGAAAACTTCAGAAGATTGGATGATAGGAGCACAGGAAACTGAAGTGTAGGGGCTAGAATGCGGTGGGCCAGGAGAAGACGATTTCCTAAGGGTCGCGAGATAAAATCCACAAACTTACACTTGCCAATGTATAATAGCGACTGATAGTGCTTCAGGAGAACTGCAATAATAGTGGTGTCAGTCAGGCTGGTCACGATGAAAATTCAACGAAAAAACACCGATCCCTCGGCATTGTCTCAAGTAGTTGTAGGGGTTTCGGATTTAGGCACTCTCCCATGATGGATGGAACTGCGCTATCTTCTGAGACTGTTTTGTGAAAGCTCATGATTAATTAGTCAGTTAATTAGTTAGACTAAATATCTTGTGAACAGATATATGACAGAGCGCTCTGTGCCTCCACATTAGAAGGCCATGGGGATAGGTTGTGTGCCCAGAAGGTGAGAAGTTGCAGGGTGGCTTCCATCCTTGTGATATGTAGCGGGTGAACAGAACAAAACGCTATACTAATCGAATAACCCAAACACAAATACAGAAATAAAGGCAATGTAGCGTGCAAAAGCAAAAAACAATGCAATTGATAAAGAAGTGAAAATATGAATAAACTTGCCACGAGATATATCAGTAATTGATGCGCCCGCTGACCAACTGTAAGGCGCTGGTTGTGTCATCAGTGTTCCACACTGTACTGCCTCACTGAGTACAATGTGCTCAAATACCAACTTAACTTGGGGAAACCGATTGAATCTCACTGCTTGAATGACCCCGGGCCAGTTATCCTGTCGACACTTACTAGAAGTATCACTCAGGATTGTCGCCTCGTCATCTATCTCACTAAACCCGTGTTTTGTTCCTCTGAAAACCAATGCAGAATTTTTCAGTCAACAAATGTATTGTTCTGTAGATAAACTAGGATGTTAAAGCTAGTGGTAATATGCCTGTCTCAGAGGTTAAGCAATGGGTGTTAAAGAAAATAATTTAAAACAGTTGAACGATGGTCAGGTCGATAAATTTGCCGTAGTTTACTCAATTGAAAACACTGCATGAGTAACTACAGAAAATCTAAGAAATAATGCTTAGTGTTATGACTAATTTAAATCTCAGGGTATGTTTTGGATATAGGCAAGGTCAAATCTGTGTTTATATACATCACCTCGGTAATTTGTACTGTCGAAGGTAGTTTCGGTTCTACAAGCTCTTCAAGTATGGCCGAGCCACCAACTAAAGTTAAGATATTGGAAACTCCGGAAGATATCCGCGAACGCAGAGAGCAAGTTCTCTCTCGTTACTCTGCATTCAAAGAAGCGACACAATATCGTCGCCACAGGTTGGAAGAAGCGAAAAGGTTGGTTCTGTCATTTTTTAAATCACTTGGTTAGATATCAATATTTTAAGAGGGATGCCGATGAACTTGAGTGTTGGATCAATGAAAAACTGCAGACATATGCAAATGAGGATTTTAAAGAACTCAGTAATCTTCAGGTAACGTACCCTCACCTCATTGTTAACGTACTTGTGTTTGTAGGAGAAGAAACAGAAACATCAAGCGTTTGAGCTCGAAGTAACAGCTCATGCTGAAACACTGTCAGCTCTAGATTCTGCGGGAGAAGAAATGATTGGCCAGGGGCACTACGCAACAGAGATTATCAAAGTAATATCATTTCTTCGTAATCATGTTTGTAGAACCGTCTTGATGAATTGCATGCTCTGTGGGAAAGGCTTATGGCTATGTTTAGAGAAAAATCACGTCTTATTAACCTAACCCTTAAATTTGTTCAGTTTCTACGCCAAGTTGATGAGATACTTTTCTGGATACGTGAAAAAGAAACTTACGTAACATCAGAGGATTTCGGTCAAGACTTGGAACATGTTGAGACACTTCAAAAAAAGTTTGATGAGTTTACAAAGGTATGTCAGCGAGTACAGTAATGCATATTTTATAGGATCTTGAGTACCAAGAGAGTCGTGCCGAAGACATCTATCGGAAGGCAGATGAACTTCTAAAAGAGGAATTTCCTGAGGATGCCCTAGTCATAGAAAAGTCCAGAGAGGTCCGCGAAGCTCTCGAGCGTCTGAAAGATCTGGCTAAGAAACGACAAGAAAAGCTTCTGGAAGCCTATGAGATACAGCGCTTCTTCAGAGACACAGATAAAGCTATATCGTGGGTGAATGAAAAGTCCATTCCTTTATCCATTGAAGACTGTGGTCGTGATCTTGCCTCAGTCCAAGCCTTACAAAGGAAGCACGAAGCATTAGAAAGGGATTTGACTGCCCTAGATGAAAAGATAGTTCAGCTTGGAGATGATGCTAAGGCGCTTGCACAGAAGCATCCTGATTCGCAGGACACTATACAAGGCAAATATGACGCCTTAATTACTGCATGGGAGAAGCTGAAAAGTCAGGCTGTAGATAGGAGAGGTAAACTGGAAGAGTCATTCAAGATGCATCGCTTTTTGGCTGACTGGAGAGACTTAAGTATCTGGATGAATGACATGAAAGCGTTAATATCGGCGGATGATTTGGCAAAGGATGTAGCTGGTGCGGAAGCCCAAGTGGAGCGACATAAGGAATACACCGCTGAGATAAACTCCCGAGCTGACAGTTTCGATACATGCATGCAAGAAGGTCAGGCATTAATAAGTGTTGGCCATCCCTGTAGTGGAGACATAGCTGCTAAACTTTCCGCCCTTGAAAGAGACAGAGCCTCTCTGATGCAGTTGTGTGAGGAGAGACGTGAACAGCTAGAACAGTGTATGGGCCTCCAGTATTTTTACCGCGACGCTGAACAGTCGGAATCTTGGATTGGAAAGCAAGAGGCCCTCTTAGAAATAAAAGATGTGGGAGACTCGCTCGATTCTGTGGAAGCACTCATCAGGAAACATGAAGACTTCGAAAAGTCACTTTTAGCACAAGAAGAAAAAATGCGACAACTTGATGAATTCGCTGCAAAATTAATCGAATCAAATCACTATGCAGCTGCACAGGTTCATGAGATCCAGGAAGGTCTTCAAAATAGACGAAATGCATTAAAGGAGAAAGCTCAAAACCGCCGTCAGCGTCTTGAAGATTCCCATCGTTATCAAATGTTCGATAGAGATGCAGATGAAATGCAGTCATGGATATCAGAGAAACTTAAAAATGCACTTGATGAAAGTTACAAAGACTCCACGAATTTGCAAACAAAGGTGCAGAAGCATCAGAATTTCGAGGCAGAAATACAAGCCAACCAATCCCGCGTTGAAGATATTAAAAAGACAGGTCAGGATTTGTTAAATGCGAACCACTACAACTCACCAGAAATAAAAGTAAAGATTGAACAACTGGACGAAACATGGTCTCATCTCGTAAATGCCATGGGAAACAAAAAGAAAAATTTAGATCAAGCAAGCAGGCAACAACAGTTCGTTCGCAATGTAGAGGATGTCGAGTTATGGTTGAGTGATGTTGAAGCTCAGATAGCCTCAGAGGATGTCGGTCGTGATCTAAACGGTGTGATGAACGCACAAAAGCGGCACAATTTGCTTGAATCTGATGTAGCTGCTCATCGTGAACGTATAGATGCATTCAAAGTTCAGGCTGACACATTTGCTGCAGAAGGTCATTTCGATGCTCCTATTATCCAAGAAAAACAAAGACAGTTAGCCCAACGTTACCATGACCTGCAAATCCCTCTAAGTCAACGTCGTGAAAAGTTAAGAGATGCCTACAAATTGCACCAATTCTTTAGGGACGTAGAAGATGAAGAAGACTGGATCCGGGAAAAAGAATCAGTCGCAGGTTCGACTAATGTGGGTAAGTAAACCAGTCGATTGTCTATTTGGCACTAGTTCCCCATGTACATGTGCATGGTTTTAAGTGCCGTATATCAATAAGCCTCTTTTCACAGCAGTATACAAAAGTAGTATCCTGCCTTTTGCGGAGGCTTACAACGTCTTTACAGCTTTTAGAATTTACTAATTATATTAATCCATAAATCATTATTTTATTTAACATCACTAGTGGATTATACTCCAACCCAAAGTGTGTGAATTTTTAAGAAATTCCATATAAGTTTGTTTATTAGATATATCATACGGTATTATGTACTTTTCACTGTGTGATATATCTAATAAACAGTCTAATATGGAATTACTTACTATCACAGTGCCCAAGTTTTACACATATAAGAATTTTTATGAGTTAATTATACTTAAGGAATCTCGCTATACACATATAGTGTATTTTCCGCACTTAATATCCTTTAATCCATGGCGTGGGAGTTTAATTGGATAATATGACTCTGCCTTGTGACTTTGTGCGTCTGTAGCTACGAAGCTGTGTCCTAATGTTTCTTCCTAGCGTACCTTATGTTGAGCTACTTCCATAATGCAGTGGTCGGGTTTAAATTGTAATGTACGTCGTTAATACTATGTTAAGGTTCCTAGAGCGGAGTCGTACTGCTTGCGGATAGGGGTGTGATGATCAGATGTTTCCTATGAGCCCTCTGGAAAACCTTATTTACTGCTTTTCAGCTTTCTGGAGGAGGCAGTTACAGAAAGTTGGCCCCCAAACCATACATCTTGGCTTACCTCACGGCAGTCTATAGTTGACTACAGGGTTTCCTCTAAACAAGCGACCAGCGGTTGTGTCTTGAACTCCTCAATAACGCAACATACGCTCATTTTAGGCGCTCCAGGAAGTTAGAACAGGACATATAAGCGAACAATATTGTTTTCAGTTAGATCTTCAGGCTTTTCTCTGTTCGCTAACATGTCTTGTTCTGGTTTTAATGGCGGGAATGTTTAAAGACCCCAAGAAGTTGCCCTCTACCTTGGGGTGGACAGTCGACCACGCGCTTCCATCAGCACACAATTCGACTGTTCACTGCCAATTAATTCCCGGCTTTTATTCTAATGTTAATACTATTTCGTGAACAATCCTTATTGAATTTAGTTAGAGAAACACCTTTACTGTCAACTTCATATTGACGCTTTTAGAATTCATACCTTACGGCGAGTCAGATCGTATGTCTCATTAGGTAAGTCTCTGTCACCCCATGCTTTGGATCTGTTATGTTCACGGGACACTCACGTGGAGCTGTGGGGCTATTTCCTTAGCCCAACCTGACCATGGTGAATCTACAAGATTCAGCTACTTTACTTGGGCAGTCCGGCTGAAGAGTTTACGAGCAGATTACTCCAGTACTTCAGGTAATATGAAAGACCGCTAACTTTCAGATCAGCACTAGTTTTTGCCATGATATTTGCGGGCAACATTCCACATTATTAGGTGTTTCAGAACAAACTTCACTGATTTCTGACGTTTGACATATTTCATTTTGTCCATCTGATTTCTCGACTTGTTTAATAGTGTCGAATCTCATATTGTTTCAGGTCGAGATTTGATTGGTGTTCAGAACTTGATCAAGAAGCATCAAGCTATATATGCGGAAATAAACGGTCATTCACCACGCATTGAAGAGGTCGTCCAGGAAGGTCAAGACATGATTCGCGCCAACCACTATGCCTCCGGCGACATTGAAAGACGTGTAGCTGACCTTACCTCAGAATGGTCTCAGCTTTGTGAAAAAGCAGATCATCGACGACGGTTGTTGGAAGATTCGTTACAGGCCCAACAGTATTTTGCAGATGCTAGTGAAGCAGAGAGTTGGATGCGGGAAAAAGAGCCATTAGTTGGTTCATCAGAATTTGGTCGGGATGAAGATTCCACGGAAGCGCTCCTAAAGAAACATAATGCCTTGCTTGCAGACATTGAGGCCTACGGTTCGACGATTGAAGCTCTTGGTGTCCAAGCCAGTAGCTGTCGCATGCAAGAAGCTCCAGCAAGTGATCTGCTCGGCAAAGATGTTGTTATGGCCCTCTATGACTATCAGGAGAAATCTCCTAGAGAAGTCTCTATGCGCAAAGGAGAAATATTGACTCTTCTGGCCAGCAATCATAAGGATTGGTGGAAAGTAGAAGTAAATGATCGCCAAGGGTTCGTTCCTGCTGCGTACGTCAAAAAAGTTGAAGCTCCACTATCTGATGCTCAATCTGGTTTGATGACTAAACCGCTTACTGTAGCTTCACAACAGCAACGTCTCGAAGAACAGTATAATTATTTACTTCAGTTAGGTCGTGATCGCCGAGAAAGACTCCAAGACTCAGTGGAAGCTTATCAGTTGGTCAGAGAAGCAAATGATTTGCACCAATGGGTTGTTGAGAAAGAACTAGTCGCTGTGACAGAGACTATCGTCCCCGGGCGATTAGAAGAAGTAGAGTCAGAGAAGAAAAAAGTAGATGAGTTTGTCATGGAACAGAAAGAACGAGAAGCCAAAGTTACTGAACTTTGTGCTAAAGCCGATAAACTAAAGCGAGGTGGTCAAACTGAAGCGGTAGAGAAGATCGAAGGTATTATTATGCAACTTCAAAAGAAATATGAACAGTTAGAAGAAGTCACTGCTAAAAAAGCTAAGGAACTAGAAGATATTGATGCTGTTCAACGGTATCATAGAGAATGTGAAGAAGCCAAAGAGTGGATTGAAGAAAAAGAAAGTAGGCTGCTGACAGATGATGTAGGCAGTGACTTCACATCTGTTCAACGTTTAATACGTAAACATGATGCATTAGAAAGAGATTTAGTAGCATTAGGCGAAAGAGTTAAACAGTTGGATTCAAAAGCTGCTGACCTAGTGCAAATTCATCCTCAGGATGCGGAAGGGATATGTAAACATCAAGAAGAAATCAACCATTTGTGGGATGGTTTGGCTGCAACTGCTGAAAAAAGAAAAGCCAAACTTTTGGATTCTTTAGATCTTCAAAAGTTCTTAGCTGACGCAAGGTAAGTGCCTTTCTGTCTATGAGTTAACCCTAACTGCACGATCGCTATCGGTTAACTAATTAGATTTAATTAAACTCAACCGGGACACTAGCTTGGCGTTCGCAGAATAGCCTGACAATTCCCTTAGGGTTTTAGGAATTCTGTAATGTTAATATTTAACTTAACTTTACAGTTTTACGTCTTGTGAAATCATGCTTTTATTGCCTATGTGCTTATATTTAAGGTTAGCAGTTTTGACTTGGTTTATTTAGAAGTAACTTAACCTGCACAGGAGTTACCTGTACCAAGCTCTGTGTCGTAATTATCGTTTGAAGACTGATGATATTACCCCCTTGCCCAGGCTGAAGTAGTTGCAGAGGAATTCGAATTAATACGCCCCTGAGAGTGGTATTGACTCAAGCATCTGACGTTCAGTTATGTTCCTGTTTGTCAATTGAATTTGTCGTAATCTCGTTTTACCAACTGAGTGTTGCAAGCATAGTAACAGCACACGGAAAATTAAATTGTACCTTAGCTTCCGATATCCAGTGAACCCAAGCAGCACACTTATTTCCAAAAGACGATGTGCATTCTTGTATAACACAAACTTTTTAAATCAAAAGTAAGGCATTGAAGAGAAAGTCACTTAACGTATTCCTGTGAAATATCTCATCAGAGTTAACTCATTGCCGACTGTCACAGGACTGTAAATGTATTTACTAAGTACTTTATTATTTTGTTTAGTTTCTGGTCACTTTCTTCCCTCCCTGTTCGCTTCATAATGCTTGTTATGTACTGTGGACTCAGGAGTCGGTACATTTTGACCACATGTTTTGCAGTAGTTCGTTCTAGCCCACATATTTTACTCAGCTGATCAATAGCGTAGCCATTTTGGTTTCTTCAAACTTCATTTCACCTATTTGTGTTGCCGGGTTTATTGTGTTCCCTCATAGTGTGCATTATAGCTCAGGAGTTTCACTGTTATTATTATTGCTCTTATTGATCTTTCCAGGGATCTTCAGTCGTGGATTACAACGATGTATGGTTTAGTCTCATCAAAGCAAGTGGGGACGTACGTTACAAGTGCAGAGTCCTTGCTGGATACTCACCGAGTAAGTCTCCCTATTTGTTCTACTTACTTTAATAGGAATATCGTACTGAAATCGATACTCGAGCTCCGGCATTCCAAAACTTCGAGTCTTTTGGTAAAGAATTATTGGACAATGGGCATTATGCTTCGGATGTTGTACAACAAAAGCTTCAGGAAATTGCAGAGGCAAGAGAAAATTTGAATGTGTAAGTTTGTCTACTGGTTATAAAAGCCTAAAAGTTTTCAATTCCCTGATGCCTCTTAGATTTAAATGCCTGTTTTATTATGTAGAACCGATTTCTTGAAAAAAATTGTTTTACGTGTCTTCTGTTAAAATCTTGTAGATTATTCTTTTGAGATTTAATGCACATGATTTCGGGTAAAATATCTCAAGAAATTCTAAGGCAATTAATTAGGTTTTGCTTTTAATAATATAGACGAACACTAGTGAGAGAAAACGATAACGCTCTTGTTTATTGTCAGGTTAGTGATAGGAATTCGTAAACGCATCGAATTAGCTGACAACGGCGTTGTGCGTGGTATGTGTACACCTGTATACTTTTCTTTAAAAGGGTCTGAGGTTTGACGCCAATCTTCTCTATCGTTTATTTGGCTTTCTTCAACTCCCTATAGTCCAAGCATATATATCCTTTTAAGTTTATGTTGTTAAGCAGAATGCGATCGTGACATTAATTTATTTAATGGCTAGTGTTAGCGGCATATTATGGAAGACTCTTAGTGCGAACGAAGTGGTTGTAGCTGAGGCAGAATTTTCATGGCTTTCATTGGCATGCTTATCACGTTAGCAGTTGGTTTCCATGTTATGTAATAAGTGGGATGGTCATTGGGGGATGAATAATTGAAAGAACATTCAAAATTTTGAAGTCATCACTTAATTTCTTGTACTCTGTCTTGAAAATTTATCTTTCTAAGCCCTAACAACTAATCATTATTTCCAATTTCGTCACTAGCGCTTGGTTAAACCGACACAAGCTACTTGAGCAGAATTTGGAAGAACAGTTATTCTTCCGCGATTGTGAACAAGCTGAAGATTGGATGGCGATTCGTGAAGCATCTTTAGCTGGTGATGATGTTGATGGCAATAAGGTTGATGCACTCATAAAGAAACATGAAGACTTTAATCGTGCTATCACTCTACAGGAAGTTAAGATTCAGAACTTAATAGCCAACGCTGATAAACTTCTTGAAGCAGATCATTATGATGCAGATCAAATCAAGGCTAAACGTGAGGAAGTTTTAAATCGTTGGACTCATTTAAAGGATGCTATGATTGACAATCGAAGCAAATTAGGCGATGCTCAAACACTTCAAGCTTTCATTCGAGATGCAGACGAAATGGAATTATGGATAAATGAAAAAATGCAATTTACAATGGATGAACCATACAAAGATCCAACTACAAATATTCAGGCTAAACATCAAAAACACCAAGCTTTTGAAGCAGAATTGGCAGCAAACGCAGAACGTTTACAGGGGATTTTGGCAGCTGGACAGCGCTTAAAGCAGAAAAGTAAGTCCATACTACCTATGTAAAAACGGTTTCTTTTCACAATTTTTGCTTTTCCATATCTCACCTAATTTTTATGATATCCCTTCACTCTAGATCAATGCAAGGGGCAGGAAAGTGCTGTCGAAGAACGTATCGCCAAACTGGCTAACCAATGGGATAATCTTGTTAACCGTTCTCATGAAAAATCTGAAAAGTTACAAGAAGCTAATCGTCAAGCTGCATATAATGCTGGCATAAAAGACATTGAATTCTGGTTAGGTGAAATGGAAACTTCACTAGTTAGTCCAGATTATGGTAGAGATTCGGCATCAGTTGATAGTCTTTTATCAAAACATCAGGTATGTGATATGATTTATATGTGGAAGTATACAAAAAAAAGTGTATAACTGTATTATGCCTCTGTTTTGTGCCTTTATTTTTGTCATTTGAATTGTGTTTATTAGCCACGCTGATACAAAAGCGGTTAACGTTAAAAGGTTATAGTAGTCTTTATTGGGTTGACGTGTTTGGCTTATAAGGTGAAGTATTTATGTTATCTGCCCCAGCACTTGAAAAGATTGCATTACCAGCCAGAGTGCTCGGCATATCGTCTTAATAGGACCATTAGGGTACAGCAGGTCGGACAAATACTCACCAAAAACATTGGCTAGCGGTTGCGCCATGTCGTGAATTGGCAGAAGTTGGAACTCATGGGCCATTGGATGTGGGGACCCAGTGACTTAGTGGTCTATGAGCTCGCCTTGAACTTCACTGTATGCGTGCTGATGAAGAGTCCCAAACACTAGGACGAAACAGCCATCTGTCCAGTGCTCCCGGGTTTTCCTATGGATCTGTAGCCAATATCGATTGATGATGAAATCCTGTTACCAACCAATCAAATCCCTACAAACCAATACTTGAATGCATTAATAAGCTGTCATGAAACACTACAATACATTGTTTTAGTGCTAGATGTCAAGGTTTATCTAAGTCGGGGTCTCCCGCCGTCTGATCATTCTGAGTTTTCTTAATTTTAGATGACACTGACTGGTTACATGTTAATTAGGCTCTAAAACGGACAGAAATTTTTTTTCTTGTCTATTTGCAATTACAGCATTCAATTCTCTGTTGTTTCCATATCACCTCATGGTTATGTACCTCAGATTTTTGTGCAATTGTAGTTTGTTGAAAATCATTTCTAGGTTTATGAAAAATCCACCGATTGGTAAGTTTTAAGTATGTTATAATGATAGCGATTATGGAAGCTACTGACTGACTGGTTTAAACGTAGAACTTTGCATAGAAGTGCTGTGGTTCGAGTTGTCACATTCCATATACCGCACAAAGGAAGTCAAAAGAGAAAAAAAAGAGATTCAAAAGAACGATAATATAAGAAAGAAAGAATAGTAACATGGAGGAACATGAAGATTTAAGGGATATCGAATAGTGCAAGGAGTGAATGCATTTCCACCAGTGAGAACGAGGATTTTGAGCCTTGGGTCCTGAGGAAGCCTACATCTCCATACGTGACTGGCTGAAACTAACTGTTAAAAAATTTTATGGACCGATTCGATGTTTTGATTTGACCACTACTAGCCACTTTCCAAGGTGATCCTATGTCAGCTAACATTGACCGTCAAGGAAGGCGATGACCTGGAAATGTGGTACACATGTCTAACCATTTCAATCGATGTAGCTTCACAGCCTCATCAGTTAACTTCCCCTCCTTACCGAACACTCGACTGAAGTTTAACCCCAATATTGCTCTCACAGCCTTATACCACCTTACAAAGATACGGGTGAGAAAAGTTGGAGCGGTGTCGTCGAACAAATCCATATCTTTGTTCCAACTTTTTGTTTGTTAACTAGTATTCTACACATGTGTTTACTAACACCTACCACTAAACGTGATACTTCCTTGTTTTTTTTCGTTCATAGGTACTAATTACAGATATTCAAGCGCATGAAGATCGTATCAAGGAACTAGATGCCCGTGCAGATGAGTTCATCAAATCTGGTGCTTGGGATGCTGATATGGTTCGTGAACGGAAGAAAATGATCAATGAACGATATGAAAAGGTGAGTATTTTTTATTACTGAATACAATTCCGAAGAAAGTGTGTTTTTCCCCGTTTATATGATATTCACTTTTATATTTGGTTAACAATTTAACCCTTTTTCTGCACATATCTGTATATAATAACACTTTGTTTTGTTTTGTTGTTTTTTTTGCATTAAAGATTCGTGCTCTGTCAGAGAATCGTGCTGTAACTCTTGGTAAAGCGAAACGTCTGCATGATTTCTATCGTAATATTGATGATGAAGAAGCTTGGATTCGTGAGAAGAAAATATTGGTTAGTTCTGAAGATTATGGACGTGATCTTATCGGTGTACGTAATCTACGCAAAAAGCATGAACGTATCGAAAATGAAGTGGCTGCACATGATCCATTCATTAAACAAGTTATCGCACAAGGAGAAGAACTTACTGTTGGTGTTCAACTCGCTGATCCTGAAGAAGTTAGAAAACGAATGCAGGTAACTATGTAAATTAGTATTCCTTTTTTTGTTCAAAATAAGTTTCGGTACATAATATTGGCCACCACCATATATGGTTGGTGGTAATCGTCAGGCGGCCTTCAGCCTAGGTTTCCTGCTTGTTGGCACCCGACAGTCAGCGAGGCGTATCTGTAACCGCGAAGGAACTCATAGTCCCTTCCGAGATTTAAACTCATTTGGTGGGAGTAGCGCTCAACCTACTGTCTGTCTGTCTGTCTTCGACATAGAACTTTGCACATATGTGCGACAGTTCAAGTCGCCACACTCCCTCCATGTAGCACACAAAGCAAGAGAAGAAATGCGAAATAGAGAGGGTAAACAGAGGTGTGAGACAAAGGAATAGTAATAACGAAGAACAATAGTTTCATTGGAAATAAGTCACAAGGAGTGGATGCATGTGCGCCAGCCATTGAGAACGATTTTGAGCCATGTCACCGATTGTTTCCAACCATTGGTTTTTACCGTTCCGAGGACCCCAACCAGTCAGGAAGTCTACACCTTCCCATGTGACTGGCTTAAACTAACTGTTGTTGATTTCATTGACTGATGAAGCCGCTAGCTCTTTTCCAGTCTGACCCTGTATCCGCTAACATTGCCCGTCGAGGAAGGCAATGACTAGACATACGTAACACATGTTCTAACCATCTCAGTCGATGTAATTTCACAGCCTCGTTGATTGATTTCTCCTCCTTACCTAGCACTCGACGTCTAACCTCAATATTGCTCACCTTATTATGCCACTTCACACGGGAGATAGAACACAGGCACCTGTGATCAAAGACAGCTAGTCTTTTCGTATCTTCCACTCTCAATGACCGGGTCTCATAGCTAGTCATAAAGGAGGACGGAGCGGACTCGACCTTCTGTAGGACTGTATAGGGTACTTCGACTGTAAATTGGTTAACTAGTGCCACGTGTCTTGTCCAATGTGTTGGTGCACAGTGATGGTGAGCCACCTAGAGCTATGGCCACATCCAACAAAGAACCAGACGCATAATACTAGTTAGTATCCGATCAAACACAGGAAGAGAACTCACCATGGGTCGTGAGGCCCTCGGTGAAATGAACGACAATGGTGAACTCTTCTCAGACTTCTGCGCCTTCAATGATTTGGTGATTGGTGGCAGTGTGTTCAAACACAAGGATATACACAAGACGACATGGATTTCACCAGATGGAAACACCAAGAATCAAATAGACTTCATCTCAATTTCAAGAAAGTGGAGACGGAGCCTACTGGACACAAGGTCAAGGAGAGGAGCAGATGTGGGTTCAGACCACTATCTAGTAGAAGGGACTTTCAAGGTGAAACTAAAAGCCTCGAGGATAGCTGGGGATAGGCCACAATGCAAGTTCAACACTCAATTACTGAAGGACACAACCACAAAAGACACCTTCACTGCAACTGTCAGAGCAAAGCAGGAAACACTACGCGACATCACTGAAGAATCATGCGTGGAAGAACATTGGAAGTCTCTGAAGGCGATTCTCAACGAAACGTGTTCAACGGTTCTAGGAAGAAAGAAGAGACAAGACAAGGAATGGCTCTCAACGGACACTTGGAAATTAATAGAAGAGAGGAGAATGGTGAAAGAGAAAATGATTCAATGCAAGGACGGACAGGAGAAGGAGACGCTGAGCTCAACTTACAAAGCACTGGACAAAGAAGTGAAGAAGAGTGCTAGGAAGGACAAAAGACGATTCTACGACAATCTAGCTACTGAAGCTGAGAAGGCAAAAGGGACCTGAGGACACTATATCAGATAACCAAATCTCTATCCGGGAAGAGACCAACACAAGCGAAACCTATAAAAGACAGCCAAGGGAAGCCCATTACCAAGGAAGAAAAACAGATTAAACAATGGGCGGATCACTTCAAAGGACTCTTGAACCGACCATCACCTGCAACCCGTCCAGAAATACCAACAACAGCGCGCACACAACTGCAAGTTGACACCAATCCTCCAACGAGAGCTGAAGTCTTGAATGCAATCAAGCTTCTGAAAGCTGGAAAAGCAGCCGGACCAGATGGAATACCCCCTGAAGCACTGAAAGCGGACCCAGAGACTACAGCAGACATGCTGACTCCATTATTGCAAAAGGTCTGGAAGGAGGGAAAGGTGCCTACTGACTGGAGGAAAGGTTACCTCGTGAAACTACCAAAGAAGGGCGACTTAGGTCACTCTGCAAGAACTGGCGAGGAATCATGCTCCTATCGACGCCAAGTAAAATCCTGAGTCGCATCATCCTGGAGAGATTAAAGGACGCACTGGAGACAGAACTCCGACCAGAACAAGCTGGATTCAGGAAAGGCAAATCATGTACTGACCAAATTGCAACTCTACGCATCATCATCGAACAAAGCATGGAATGGCAATCAAACCTCTACCTCAACTTTATAGACTTTGAGAAGGCCTTCGACAGCGTTGATCGTGAAGTAATTTGGAAATTACTCGAGTACTATGGCGTACCCCAAATATTCATCAACCTTATTCAACAGCTGTACGACAACGGCACATGTCAAGTGATCCACAACGGAAGACTCAGCGAGGCGTTTGGAGTAAACACAGGAGTCAGACAAGGGTGCTTATTATCACCAATGATATTCCTAATTGTGGTGGACTGACTGGATTATGCGTCAGACAGTGGGAAACGAGAAGACAGGAATATCCTGGACCGACGTGAAGAACCTAGAAGACCTGGATTTCGCGGATGACTTATGTTTGATGTCACACACAATCGAAGACTTACAAGCGAAAACCGACAAACTGGTCGAAGAAGCAGCCGATGAAGACAGGACTCCAAGTGAACATAGACAAGACGGAGGTTATGAAAATAACCAACCAACAACAACAGCAGCAGCATCCAACGTCAATCACCATCAACGGGAGGGATTTGAAAGAGGTTACTTCATTCACTTATCTAGGGAGCATTGTCTCAACTACAGGACGGAACGGACGAGGATGTCAAATCGAGCGAGAATCGGGAAGGCGAGAAACACATTCATCAGCCTGAAATCAATCTGGAAATCTTCGTCACTCAGCATCACCAACAAAATTCGGATTTTCAATACAAACGTCAAGTCAGTCAGTTCTTCTATACGGATCAGAAACTTGGCGGGTCACAAAGAATATTTCCAAAAGGCTGCAGACCTTTATTAACAACTGTCTTCGCTCACTACTGAAGATCAGATGGCCGGAAAGAATCACCAACAAGGAATTATGGGAACAAACAAAGCAAGAACCAATCGCCCAACAAATATGCAGGAGAAAGTGGAGATGGATCGGACACTCGCTGAGGAGACCGCTGGGTGACATCGCGCATCAAGCCCTCGAGTGGAACCCGAAAGGGAAGCGGCGTGTGGGATGTCAGTGCAAGGGTGACATGGAGGAGATCGTGTGAAGAGGAGTTGAAAGAGTATGGACTAACATGGATGCAGGTGAAAAGTGCAGCAGAAGACAGAAGCAAAAGGAGACGTGCAGTTGAAGCCCTATGTTCCACTAGGAACCCAAGGGAGCAATAATAATAATAATATCCGATCAAAATATTGGGTATTGATTTATGCATATTCTCATGTAAGTATTAATGAGTAAAGCTTACGCTTTAACGTTTTCAGAAGAATTATGTAGGCCTCTTCAATTTAGTAGAATGCATTCGTCACTGATTTCTTGCTTATCCTTTCGGCGTACCATAAATTCTCAGTGCAAAATGATTGTTACTATCCTGTAAATTGTTTCTACCCGACCATTTCATTCAATTGTTTAACTTGGATTAATTGTCGACTGACACTAACCGCTTGCATATCTCGTTGTATCTACTCGGATCTAAGGGCTGACACAGTGTTGCTCAATCTGATAACTAAAATGTCTGTTATGAGAAATGTTTACCAGCTAACCATCTACATCTGTATGTTACGTCATAGAACCATAGTGCCTTGTGTCTTTCTACCGACAGAGATAGGTAAGTGTAAACTTGCGTTCTTGTGTGTATAACAGCCAATTTACATGGAATTGACAACTAGGTCGTTTCTGCACCCTCTTCATTCTAGATGCAATTAAAAATGTTTGTAATTGAGAAATAACTTGGATATGCTGCAATCGTGCTCACCTTTATGATTTAGTTGTTCACATGTACACGCTTCACTGAAATACCATATCCTTATAAACTATTTTTACTTCATTTTTCAGCGTCTTCAATCTGCATGGGAAGAGTTACAAGGTCTTAGTGCACTTCGTCGACAAAAATTAGAAGAATCTTTAGCATATCAAGATTTTATTGACGGTGTCGAGGAAGAAGAAGCATGGATCCTTGAGAAACAACATTTACTTAGCAGTGAAGATTACGGTGACACTCTTGCAGCTGTTCAAGGTCTTTTGAAGAAGCACGATGCTTTCGAAACAGATCTTAATGTAAGTGAAACTTTTTTGATTGACTTAATTTTCTATTACAGGTGCATAATGAAAAGTGCAAAGAATTGTGTGCAACTGGATCTGAACTTGTCCAATCTGATAATCATAATCGTTTAGCAATCCAACAACGATGCGAAGGATTGATAGAAAAATTAAATATGCTCAATCAGGCTGCTCAACGTCGCAAAACAAATCTCACTGATAATTCAGCATTTTTACAGTTTATGTGGAGAACAGATGTTGTTGAGTCGTGGATCGCTGACCGTGAAACACAAGTGCGTAGCGATGACTACGGTCGAGATTTAAGCAGCGTTCAAATCTTATTGGCAAAACATGCGACTTTTGACACCGCATTGGAATCTTTTCATACTGAAGGAATTCAGACAATCACTGATCTCTATAATCGTCTTATTGCAGCGGAACACAATCAAAGTCCAGCAATTAAACAACGGTTAGTTATTATATTTAAATAAAAATAATACATTCTTAGAAGTAATTTTCACGAGATTTGAATTATACTGTTTGATAATTTTTTGGCATTCTCTTTTTTCAGTTTCACTTCATTGATGGATCGTTGGGAACGTCTACGACGTGAGTCTGCTCGTCGCAAAGCCGATCTTGTACAACTTCAAGAACAATATCGCAAAGTTGAAGAACTCTATCTAGCTTTTGCCAAACGTGCATCAACCTTTAATTCTTGGTTTGAAAATGCTGAAGAGGATTTAACTGATCCTGTGCGTTGTAATTCATTAGACGAAGTTCATGCTCTGTGTGAAGCTCAAGAACAATTCAAGGCATCTTTAAAAGCTGCTGAAGCTGATTTTCAACAGTTGGCCCAACTGGATCGTGAAATCAAGAGTTATGGTGTAAGTTCACTAATGTTGAATGATAAAATTATGCCGTTTTGCGTCCAGAGAAATAACTTACACCACCAAACACGTCATAGTTCCTGTGATAGCATTACTACAGCTAGGGTAGTTAGACCATAATAATAATTATTATCATGAAGTCATAGATAGGTTTGTTTTAACAATGAAGCTGGGAATATAATAAATGTTCCTTAAAGATGCGTGCACAACTCAACTCAACAATTTCTTGTAATTCTTTCACTAAGATTCTGACAGGATGCATTGTTTTGTTTGCGTCGGTGACGCAGCGGTTAGGACACTCGCCGACCATGCACATGGTCCGGGGTTCGATCCCCTGCCGACGCACACCTGATATTTATGGTCATCCTGCAAAATTTGGGCTACCGATATCTCATGCTGAAAATTCCACACTTGTGCCAAAAATACGCTATGTGGAGTCAAGCTATAATCAATAAATAAGAAGCCAGGATTTTAATCTCTTAAGTGCTAGCATTCATTAACTGACTAGGTGTGGACTTCTATAACTGAACTTACTTATCTCCTGTTTATTCAGTGTGATTTTTTATCATGTGTTAACCCTGAGGTTTGTGTGCACTTCCAGTCTATTAGCACATGAGAATTTTACAACGTGAATTTTCAAGTGTTGTTGTGTAGGGATTTGATTTTTTTTTCAAGTTTTACCATGGATTAATATCAATTAGAGAACCATTGAAAGCGATGGAGTTACTGGAAATCACGATGCTAAAGTCATGAATTAGTAGAAGTTAGAACTCATGGGTCAGTGAGTCGGGTCCCAGTGGCTAGATGGTCTGCGAGATTGAGTTGCAACTGGAAAATAGCGTGTCCCGAATCCCAGTGGGTGAGCGCTGCCGGTGAGTCCCGGATTAAAACGAAATAGCTGTGCACTACTCACTACCTGGTTTCACAATGGTTCTCTAATAGATATCAATCCTTGGTCAAACTCGAAACGTAGTGAATATTAAGAGTAATTTTAATGCTTCTTTAAGTTGTCATAAAAATTACCGAATAATATCAGCATGGGTTCGGTAACCTAATTGCTTATTTTAGTGTTCTTCTAACTAACTTTTAAAGTCAATTCACAGGCGTCGTCGCCGCTTCATGCCAGACGTATATTGCAGGAGAGTGGTTTGCAGCTCTACACTCGACGCCATAATCACTTCTTTTATTACGCATGAAGTTTTCCTCAAAGCTTCTAACTAACTTGGGGTTTCATGTGATACATTCTGCATTTCAGTTTCAATCTTTTTTTATTCTCTCTATATCGTTTCTGTTAGGTTGGCATGAATCCATACACATGGTTTACAATGGAGTCACTTGTGGAGACGTGGCGTAATTTACAGAAAATTATTCTGGAGAGAGATGCTGAACTTCGACGTGAAACTGTTCGTCAAGAACAGAACGATCAACTACGACAACAGTTTGCAGTGGCTGCAAACTCTTTCCATCAATGGCTTCAGGTGAGAATTTGTATTATATTTTCCAAAATATCAGCCTTTTCATACTACACACACAACTTTTTGTTATGATATTAACTGAAAATAATTTCCATTTATATTTATGTTGTATGAGAAATAATTAGTCTTATGTAAAAAAAACACCTTATTTACTTTGCAGAAAGTGCGTACTTCGATGATGGAAGGCAGTGGGAGCCTTGAAGAACAACTTGAAGGTATTCGTGAGAAATCGGCTGAGGTTAGAGCTCGAAAGAATGATCTGCGAGAGGTTGAAAAACTTGGAACTTTGCTTGAAGAGCATCTCATTCTGGATAATCGGTATACTGAACACAGCACTGTACGTTCTCACGTTTTTTTCGTCAGTGTTATCCTTTCATATTTTCATCTTCTGATGTCATATTTTTTTTATTATATTTCATTTATGTTTCAACTAACTAACTAACTAACTTTTTTCACACATTGTCTAAATTAATTTCAGGTTGGTTTAAGTCAAGCATGGGATCAGTTGGATCAGCTTGCCATGCGTATGCAACATAACTTAGAACAACAAATTCAAGCTAGAAATGTTAGCGGTGTCAGTGAAGAAGCCCTTCGTGAATTCTCTATGATGTTTAAACACTTTGACAAGGATAAGTCTGGGCGTTTAGATCACCGTGAATTTAAATCATGTCTACGTGCTCTTGGTCATGATTTACACGAGGTTGGAGAAGGTCAAGTGGATGCTGAATTCGAGGCTATATTAAATGTTGTTGATCCTAATCGTGATGGTTATATAACCCTTCAAGAATTTATGGCATTTATGATTAGCAAAGAAACTGAGAATGTTCAATCCCGTGATGAAGTTGAAGAAGCCTTCCGCGCTTTAACAAAGGAAGGCAAAGAGTATATTACGAAAGAAGAACTATATGCGGTAAGTCTAGGTCCTATTTTGTTTAATTTTATTATTATGCTTCGGACATCTTCATCGCAAGCTGATTTACTTTTATTCTCTATCCCCATTTCATTAGGTATTATTGTGTTAAGAAATTGAGATTAGTAGATGAAGTAAAATATTATTTATTTTCGGGAATAATATTTGTGAATAGGAAAGGTCATCAATTACAATGTGAGGTTCACCCTGTCGAGAGTGGGAATAAATACTTGCCGACGACGTCGGCTGGTAGTCGCGGTAAAATCACGAATTAGTAGAAGTTAGGATGCATGGGCTATTGAGTTATGTCCCAGTGACTGACTAGTCTACGAGCTTACCTGGTACCCTAAAGGTTCTGGGTTTGAACCCCGCTGGATGTGTGCTACTGGTGAGTCCCGGACTCTATCACGAAGCAGCTCTGCAGTTTTCGTTGTTGGTTTTCAGTGTTTCTCCAACTGATATCATTCCGTAGTGAAACTTGTATTTAAATGTGCCAAACTTTTCATTGATTACCGCCTCTGACGTAATCATTGCAATTTTTTTTGATTTTACACTAGTAACTAGTGTGATTTGTCTAGTCCTCTCTTTGGTGCAGACTGAATTCTATCAGTCAGGTTGTAATGTGGCCGCCATTCTAGGTAGCTCGCCATCACGGTGCACATTGATTTGATGATAGTAGATGGTTGGAGGCAATCGGCCACAGAAATCCCAGCCTTGCTTGACCTAGGTTTCGTGCTAGTTGGCACTCATCAGTCAGCAAGGCGTATCGGCGACTTTGAAGGAACTCATGTCCCTTCTGAGATTTGAACCCGCGTCACCCACTGCAGTGCTGCAGTCAGAGACGTTACCATTGAGCTATTCGTGCTCGCGATTGACCTCCTGTCGGACTGTAGTGGATATTTTGATTTAGTGGTTTTTTAAGTTTTGTTTCACAGTTAAATTTCTTTTTCTGTATTTCCCACCACAGAATTTATCCAAAGAACAAGCGGAGTATTGTAGTCGAGTTATGCCTCCATATTACACTAAAAGTGGTCAGCCAATTTTGGATGCATACGACTATCAAGCCTTCACAAAACAACTATTTGTCAGTTAGAGCTATGCAGTTAGTTGTTTGTTACTTTTCTTTCGATAGTATCCGTGCAATTTTTCGTCCGATAACTTAACTTCATCCTTGATAGTGGTTGTAATTTCGCATTTTGAATTCACTTTCGTTCAACTTTTTTCGCCTCATTCGCTGCTATTCCTCTCTCTCTCTTATTTGACACTTGGTGGTCATTAAACTTCTGTTGTTGCTTTTATTTCAAAGTGGCTGGAAGTGATAATATTGCTATTGCTCTCTTTAATTTTGTGATTAAATATATAATATTTAATTGCCTTTGAAATCTTGTGATCATGCCGAATAACTTGCTTATTTACTATTTATTGTAATTGGTTCCTCTTTGCACCTTGCGCTTTTGTTCTCTCACCAATTCTAACAATAAATAGCTAGACATTAATTACACCTACTCCTTTGTATTTTTTTTGATTTTTTTTGTGTGGGTTATGATGTTCAGCTTCCTTTTCTATCATCGGTCGTCTGGGCGGATTAGTGTATTCACTTTGCAGCTGGATGTATCTCGCTGTTTTTTGCTCCTGAAATGTATACGTGCTTATATCATCAGACCTCGCCCATATATACCTATGAAAAGTCTAAGCACAGGTGGTCACTTATTCATAGTTTTCTTTCGTGTGTGTGTTTTTGTTGCGTTAGGATGGCACACTGTATTACATTCGAAAAAATACCAGAAAGAAGTGTGATTGTGTTGCTGGATCTCAATGGTTAGTATTGGGATAAAGGAAATTGTTTCAAACATGTTAAATCTTTCCCACTGACAACAAAGAATGAATTCAAGTGTTTCCACTTCGTCCTAGGTCCAGATTATTTTTATGTGTTTGCTGGATAAGAAAAACTCACCAGCCGCTGGTATGGTCACAGTTAGCACGGACATCACCACCAACGTTCTACCTCTGCTGGATAAAATTCCCACTGCTACATGTGATTGGGAACACACATTGAAATGACCGAAAAGAACAAATTATTCACACAATAGCGTATAATTCGAGAAAAATCACTGAGGATATTGGGGGTCCGCTCTACTTTACGTGAACCAATTCTGATTGGTTTATTTCCAGACTGAACATCGATAACCATAATCGTTTGGTTAACAGTAATCAATAAGTCCTGATATAAATCCGAATATAGTTTATTTACTCGTTAACAGTCATTGTTGTTGGGTTAATTGAATATAGAAACCGTAACTTACAACATTTTAGTGCTGAGTTTGCCAACTTACGCTACCACCTCTAGCGGCTATTTATCCAAAGGGCTTGTGTATTACACAGCGATTTGCTCTGTCCTCCTCTCTATGGCTGTGAGTGAGACATGGCCACTGGAAGTGGTAGATATGAAAACACTAGCTGTCTTTGATCGTTAGCGTTTGCGTTCTATCTTCCATGTTAGATGGTATAATACGGTGAGGTTAGGACGTTAGGTAAGAAAGGCAAATCGAATGATGAGGTTGTAAAGTTACAGCAATTGAGGTGGTTTTGTGTACATGTGTTACGTGTGATCAGACATCGCCTTCCTCGACGGTCAATGTTAGCGGAGGTAGGTTTAGGCTGAAAAACAGCTAATGATGGTTAACAGAAATCATGGGATCAATCTGTGAAATCTTAAACAGTTAATTGGTGGATGGTGACTAGCAGTGGAATCCAGAATGCGCATTTCGGCCTACTTGGGAATCGTCAGGTGGATGTACCTACATTTCCCAGTGAGTGATGATGTTCCCACCAAGGCTCGAACCGAGATCAAGCACTTCGGTCCAATCAATCGACGGGAAAATCTAAAATTCAATTAAATCTTAGACAGTTAGTTTGAATTGTGTAGGGGGATTTAGGCTCCCTGGTTGGAGTCCATGTGATTTCAAGAATCAATGGCTATCTGTTATATCCATCAAATCCTGTTGTTTTTCCATGTTAATATTCTTTCTCCTTACTATCGAATCTTTGTCTTCCTTTGTGTGGGACATGGGGTGTGGCAAGCTAATATGATGGTGTACTTCTATGCCAAGTTCTTTGTTGAAAACACGGTCAGGTAGTAGTGATTTACAATATCTAAGTTTATAATATAAGCTATAAATCAATAATAGCTGTACTGCTTCTATGAATTCTTGCAGTACTGCTCCGAGGTAGGCATCTTTTCGAAAGCTATCTCCAGTTTCACCATATCCGTTATGTGGTTGTCCGTTTTATTTTATATATTCAGTCCACCTACCAAGTTTTGTCTGTCCGAAAAATTATTTTTGTACCAAAAAGTTTAATTAGATAGTAGCGAGACTGTAAAACACAGGTCTTTTTTTACATTGTGAAGTGTTTGAGAACAAAGGTGGCGGTGTACTGCTGACAGAAAGGGATGAGGAGTGTCAGTGAAGTCTATTCATCCAATGCTTATTTATTTAGCTGTAAAATGTTGGGATAAAGGAATTTTTTAACACTCTAACTGATCTACTTGACGAGGATGGCCAAGTTTCAACCAGGCTGTGTTAACTGCTTACACATATTCTCAAAGGCGCACCAAGTCCACTCATCCTCAAACTTCACCGATTCTTGTCACTGTTCTTACTACTTGTACAATACCTAAGAGTCACTGAAATTATTTTTATCTTTAAAACTACATTGTCAACTACTCAGTTGAGCTTATTGTTTGTTGTATAGAAAGTGGAAGTGTGTGGGCGGTTGTTACTTCTCGGCTGCTCACATCGTGGAAGTTGTTTGATTCTTCGGGCATCTGAAACAGAAAGAGGGTTAGTGTTGCGTAACGCCAGAGCCCAGGGAACAACTGCTTGATGCTGGCCGGTCACACACGGCCTGTATGAACTGGTATCTTGGTTTGGTTTCGTATTAGTAAACTTACCGCCGGTTACGGATCACCGTAGGTGGGGTAAGTCGGGATATACAATTTTTGGGGTCTGCCTTTTCTAACCCCTTCTCTCCAGAGCGGAGAGATAGCATAGGTGGCTGACATGCTGATCATCTGAGGGGTAACACCTCACTGCTGTTTAACCCCTGTTCCCCATCAGTACAACTTCGCCCACAGACCCCCAGCATACTGTAAAATACAAAGTTCTTACACTATTCCGATAACTGCTTTTAGTCTAATCGCTATCCTAACAACCTTCCTGGCATGGTAGGACCTCCAGGAACATTGGTTCTAGCCAGTGTAGCTTGTTGGGTCATTGCGATGTGCAAGCCTGACCACCACATCAAGGTAGCAGCCATCGGTCAGTATAACTAATAAGGTAACTGATCTCACTGGTCATAACCTCCGTAGTGAGTTGCAGGTGAGGTGTGTTTCATCAGTTGAAACATGCGAACAAGACTCATGAATGGTTGTTCACTAAATCTCCTATACCTCTCTCTGTCTATCATAGTGAAACAACAACCTTAGGGGTGAGGTTTAGGAGTGTGTCAGTCGGGGATCGGACCACATGCGTGGTTGACCACCGACCACTATTTCCTATGGGAGGGATGGCATCAAGCTCTATAGCAGATAAAACGCGGTGTTTGATTCAGTCTTAGTGGAAAGTATAAAAGTTACTAACTGTAGCTCCGACATAGCAGAGGAGGAGGAGGTTTAATAATAAGAATAATAATTCACTTTATTCCAAAACACAGTTCTTACAGCAGTGAGTTCTAAGCATTTCGGACAATATCTATTGCATGTAATTTACTCAACAACAAAGAAAAGCATTGCAGGGTATATATAGGTAACCAAAATTGATAGTAGCAGCATTTTGTGTTTTTAACATTAGCAGTGAGCAATAATGTACAAAAAGTGCCATATAATATTATTAATAATAATGGTAATGTCAATAACTAAAGATAATTGAGATTAAGAAAAATTTAAAAATAACATGAATAAACAGGAAGTTTGGATAAGAAAGTCAATGGGATAGTCACTATTAGAAGAATTACCTGTTTATGATGGCCACGGTAGGGACAAGGGTTGAACGTATTTCTTTTGGATACATAGCGTGGGTTCGAATTTTTGGATGACTAGTGCCTCGGTTATGCCCAGATGTCTTAATTTCACTCCCTTTGATAGGTTTGATTGAATCTTGTATATTATTTTGAAAGATTTTTCGAATGGCACTGAATGTCCTGAATTGACCAGATGTTCTTTCACTGAACTATGTACACCTTTTCGCTCTCATTTTACGGGTGCGTTTTTCAAGTTGGCATCTGGTACGGCCGATGTACTCAGCTCCGCAAGAGCAAGTAAACTAGTATATGGACGTTGAAGAGGCACAGTGCGACAGCTTGTCTTTTGCGTTCTAGCTGAATAGTTTTTTGGCGGGAGAGGTTAGTCGTAGGCTCAATGCGAAGTATTTCTCCCCCAGAGATTTGCAGAGGCGTTTACGAGGTATTTCTGCTTCGATGTCACCTTTGAATTCTAGACTAAGCAGAAGTATCTTCGTCGGGATGGTTTGAACTTGTTCGAAAGTCTTCTTTGATTTGAGATTCTTGTCTATGAACCTAGGTGGAAAACCGTTTTCCATCAATTACAAATAGGCGAATATCAAGTAGCCATTGATTTTACTAGTTACATAATAAGTTGTAGGTTTCACTCTTAGCACTTTCTCTATCTCATAGAATGCGGGCCAGATTTTGTACGTAGTTATACGAGCATATAATCTTTTATAATGATTTCTAGTCGTAGCTGATGAGATGCAAGGGGAGAGTTGTCGATAAAGAGGGTGTTGTGAGAGGCAGACATTATGGATTTAGCTCATTTCTCGTATGAGTTCAGGCGCCTGTCAACAACAATAGTAACAAGCTGACTTAGTGGCAAACCACTTGCCCTACTGCAGCCTGTAGTATCCCTTACTGTATGACACAGTCCTTTTTGAGTAGTCCAGGAAACACCAGAAGGAGGAGGGACAGCAACGAAGAACATTAGGTAAGATGTAAAAGTTAACAAACTGTCAAAGTATAGATTGAGTGATGCCTACATATTCTTAGAAATCGACAAGATGTGAGATGACCAAAAGAGAT